TTTTAGATCCATTAGTTCTACTTGTAACAGACGCATATTTTCCTGATCTTTATTGCGTTCCTGTACTTTTCATTATCTATTTTTTTATATCAACTCAGCAAGCATGGTTATAATTGTTAACTTAACCTTCTCCACAGGCATTTCTCCGGATTGTGACTTTTTTTTTTGTGCTCCAACATTGTTCTTCTGTCTCTTCATTTTTAATATTTATGGGTTGTAATGGAGGATTCCTTTCCTTATCTTAAGAGATTGCCTATATACTCTTATAAGAACTGGATATAATCTTTGGATTTTTATCCAGGTGTCTATTACTTCACAGATTAATGCCTTTGCATCTGTTTAGATGGCCAGGGCACTGAGGTCAGTAGGGGGTAATATATAAGCAGGAACAGGGGCAGATGTGCAACAAAGGGTTGCCTCCAATGAGCACCAAGTGTTCAAGCTTCCTACAGTACTGTAGATACCCATGTGCCACTGATTTCCTCCCCCAGGACAAGTCCTCAGTCAATATGTCTCATACCGTTTGTGCCAGCCTTCACCGCCAGGATGTGGTTGAGGAACAGCGGTAGTGCTAGATGAAGACAACAATTAGATGGGGTTAAAAGATAGGAATTATTCTCTTTGATTTTTCAGTACAGAACTTAACTCTGGTACACTTGGTCCTGTTAAGATTCGGGTCCTTACGCTGTGATTAGTGGGCATATTCAGTTGCTATTTTGGTTATGGCCCAGGGTTGGAGTAAGGCAGGTGTTTTGCATATCAAAACCAAAGGTTCTAAATAATTGCCTTTTCTATAAGGGGACACAGGTGAACTGATCTCTCTCTCTCCATCTGTTTGGACTCCAACAGGTCTAACTTAGGATCCTCGACCTCCAGCCAGTAATCATCACTCTGCGCATTTATTTACCTCAATAGTTCTCCAGTGGTGCACACTCTTTCCTGCATGACAACTCCGTGCACCCCCTTCTCCAGTGCAATGCCTGGTCTCCAAAGTCCTTGATGTGGGGCCATGTGCTCTGAATCTGCAACAGCAGAGCATCTCAGTACACTAGCTGCCCCTCCCTCTTGTGGGTTATACTGCCCCCATCTCTCTAAACACAGTTTAATTATAGATTTTCTTTTTTTTTTTAGTCACAGGTGGGCAGTGAGAGTGCTGCCCCAAACCTGTGCAGAGACTGTACTGATATAGTCCTTTTCTTTTCTTTTTTCTTTTTTTTTTAATCCATGCTTTTTTAAATTTATTTTTTTTTACTTTTATATTCCCCATACAATTGCAACCCCCTGATTTTGACCCCAATCCCTCCTTTCCCCGCACCCCCCAAAAGTGTGTCTCTGGTTCATAGTTGTTTGGTGATTTTGATTTTTTTCTTTCTTATAGTTGTTCTTTTTCCTAAAGGCCCTTGAAATTCTCAGGATACAAGGAAAATACCTCAACATTATAAAGGCCATCAATGACAAGCCCACAGCCAATATCATTCTCAACGGTGAAAAGCTAAAAGCATTCCCATTAATTATAGATTTTCTTATCCCTTCTCATTGTGCCATTGGTCCTAATGTAGGTGATGGTTGTTTGTTTATATTTCAGGGGTTGTTGACTTTGTTTTGTTGTACTTTGGTCATGGATATGAGTTCAGCATCTTCATTTTGCTGTCATATTACCAGACTCCTCAAGACTTTATTTTTAAATTACTCCATGGATCAGATAATCTATCTCAAACTTGGATAAGACTCCATTTACTTGACACCACTTAAAGAATAGGAATTAAACAATGTGCTTAACAGTATGGATGGAAAGAAGTGTGGAATAAAAAAAAAATCTTAGAGCCTGGCATTTTTCAATAAAACTTACACAATGGCTTCAGCAAATTAAACCTCAAGCTTGAAACAATAATTCATACCATATTCATTTTTTTCCCCACAAAGCCTTTCTTCTGGCATAATGTGCACACAAACCAGGAAAGGTTAATAGATTTGCATGATGGCTCCAATGCACTTTGCAGTTCAGTATGAACACAGCAATAGAATATTCAAGAGAGGTTTCCCTGGTGGCGCAGGGGTGACGTCTCAGTGCTATCACGCTATTGGCACTACGGCCTGAGTTCAATCCCCTGCTAAGGAGCTAACCCACATATGGCACAGCAGACCTCTCCTGTCTTGCCGACTGCTCCCCTCAGCAGTGTATTTCAGTGGATCTGCCAGTTCTGCTCCCCACTGTGTCTCTGGTGACTCCTCTCACCGCCTGCACCTCTGACCTACACCCCAGCTCTTGTATGCATAAATAAATAAAAATGAATAAATCTTTAAAAAAAAAAGAGTATTCAAGAGGATGTATTCAGTCCAGTACGCTGAATCTCATTAGCATCCTCTTTGTGCCTGGCACTGGGCTTGTAAAGAATGCAAGTATATAGCCACTTCAAGGGAGGGGGAAAAGGAATATATGTAACCCACAAACACATGTTTGTGGTGACCCTTTATACAGTTAGCACTGTTACACTGTGTTATTCACAGAAGAAACTAAGAAAAGTGTTCATTTTTTTTTTGTGAGCTTAGAATGTAGTTATGAATAATAGTGACACAGAACATCTTACACATAGGAAAGAAACATAGAAGCAACTAATCACTGGGCTGTAAATGCAACCAGGTTTCTGAGAAGAAAGAAAAACTAGGACTAGAAGGGGAAGTGAGACGTGTATAGAAGAGAGAAGGTATTCCTAGGGGACTGAGGAAAAAGTGAACACAGAAAAAGAGATGGAAACAAGCATGGCAAATCTGGGAAGCAACAAGGAGAGCTACTGGAATGAGAGAGAAAGAACTGTTGATGACAGCGTAGATATGGTTACATGGGACCTTGAAGGGAACTGAGGACTAGAAAACACAGGACCCAAAGACCTAAAGGTATTATCTCAATTCTGCATTTATTACATGACTTTGGTTAAGTAAGTTAACTACAAGATGCCTTGGTGTCCTAGCTTACTCACTAATATGAGAGGATACGGAAAGCAGCCAGCTACACAAGATTATTGACTACAAAACTACAAGAGATGATGCCTGAAGAAAGGTTTTTCCCAAACAGTCAAATAAAAATCAAGTCCCCTTCTTCCAATTTGTATTATATACACCAGCATGGTGCAGACATGAGTAAACAGCAGGGTTTGTTTTCTAGTCAGCTACAGGCAGAAGGTTACTATGGGTGTAGACAGGGGTTGCTGATCAGTTGATTTGAAGTGATTTTTGCCTGCGAAGAAGGTGAGTTCCTGGAGCCTGGACCCAGGGGAGACAGATCAGCCATGCTGAGGTGCTTCTAGTGTCCTCTGCTTGGTTCTAAGAGACCATGACCTCTCTGAAAGAGGTCCCTGGTCTTGACAAAGCTGTTCATGAAGGCCAGTGAGGTGTGGTGGAAAGAGATCTGGATTTGCATTGAAATCTATCTGAGAGCAGATTTTAGGGTTTAATGCATACTAAGTATGATAACCTTAGCGGCTAACTTCCTATCTTTGGACAAAATGTACAGTACGTGAGCGTCTTCTGTAAACTCTAAAAGTGCTAGGCCAACAGACTTAATCTCTTATTAATAAATGAAAACAGAGTTTTCTGAGTAGTTACAATTTACTACTTTAACATGTTCTGTCATCATTTCAGAAAGTTTATGTTTGAGAGGGCTCACTATACCTTAGAACAGCATCAGCACTGTGGTGCTGAATACTTGGGGCTTTGACATAATTGAATCAGAATGCTAATTTAGGATGGAGGTCACAGAGTCATAAGCTACCTGAAAAGGAGGAGGGGTAGAGGGAGAGACAGGGGTTGGGGCAAGGAGAGGGGGGAGGGAGGAGGGGGGGAGGAGGGAGGGTGACAACAGCTTTAATCTGCAGTTAAACACATAGCAAATTCCCTCACCTGATCATTTGCCTTACATTTGCATGTACACAGAGTTCAATAGGGTTTTCAGAATATCCTACTTAAAAAAGTATTACCGGGCCTCCTCAGTGGCGCAGCGGTTGAGCGCTGGGCTGCGAAGCTGCCCGCAGCCTCGGCAGCGCCGGTTCGATCCCCGGCCACCGGGCCAGGGTCCCACATGGCGCGCAGACCTCTCCTGCAGCCCGCTGCTCCCCTCAGCAGTGTGTTTCATCAGTCTGTCTGTTCTGCTCCCCGCTCTGGCTGTGGTGAATCCTCTCATGCTCCCACGCTTCTGACTGTACCCAGTGCTTGTATAAATAAATAAATAAATAAATAAATAAATAAATAAATAAATAAATAAAATCTTTAAAAAAAAAAAAGTATTACCACTCAACTTCACCACCCTAACACTAGTCAGAATAAGCCTGCTCTAGTTTAGTTTCCTCCCAATACTAGCATTCTATCCCTAGCAGGCTTTCTCTGTCCCACCAAAGCAAAGCAAAAACAAAAACAAAACAAAACAAGCAAACAAAACCCAGCAGGATTCTTTGTTTGGGTCTTCATTTTACTCGGTTGTCACTTTGTCTCAAATTACACAAAATGTCTCACTCACATAGAGGGCACTTGAGGGATTTGTAGGACGAGGGCCGGGGATTTGTAATGGAGTGTTTAGAGATTGTCCTTAGAAGGTCATGAAGCCCCTCAGCCAAGCACTCAAGCAAGTAAGAGGCTGTTGAAGAAGGCCATTCCCTAAAGCTTCGAGTTTGCCTCCTTTCCATGAGGGACTGAGGTGCTATGACGTGGCGCCTGGTGCCGGGAGCTCAGCACAGAACTTATCTGCCATGCCACTTAGCTCGAGACTTCTCTATGACCCCCACTGAGACGTCACCACTGCAGCCATTGCTTGGTCCTTGTCCTGTTGCCCCAGGAGACCCCACAGGCCTGTCCAAGAGTCATAGAGTCAAACCAGAGAGTCCTTGGCTCTGACCTGAGACCCTCCCAGAAGGAGGCTTCTGCCTCCAAACCTCCCCCTTCCCCCCTAACGCTTAGGGTCTTATTTCCCTCTTATTCCCTAAGAAAGGAGAGCAAAGACGGAAGGCCTCATGAGTGACGCAGAAGAGGCCAACCTCACAGAGGTGGCCGTCTCAGTCTCCCCCCAAGCCACGCAGGGGCACCTGGTGTCATTGGGAGGCGGAGATCCTCCCCAGGCCCTAGTTGCTGGCAACCTCAGCGGGGACTCAATCCCCAAGGCCACCACGGCAGCGGGAGCCAAGGAAAAGGTGCCCAAGAAGGTCATCGCCAAGAAGGTGAGCGGCACCGTCAAGTGGTTTAACGTGAAGAATGGGTACGGGTTCATTAGCAGGCATGATACCCAAGAAGATGTGTTCGTTCACCAGACGGCCATTACCCGGAACAACCCTCACAAGTACCAACGCAGCGTGGGTGACCGTGAGACCGTGGAGTTTGACGTGGTGCAGGGCGAGCGGGGTACGGAGGCCGCTAATGTGACCGGGCCAGCTGGCGCCCCAGTGGAAGGGAGTCGCTATGCAACCAACTGGCCCGGCTTCCGCCGCAGCTTCTACATCCGCCGCCAGGCACAGCAGCCCTGCGGTCCTAGGGACTCCGAGGACGACCTCGATGAAGGAGAAGGCAGCAGTGAGGGCTTCGTGGGACACTGCACAGCTGCTCAGGGCCCAAGGCGCTGCCTGCCAAGCCGCCCAGAAGACCAAAGGCTACAGCGCTTCCCCCACTTCCGCAGGGTCCAGGACATGACTCGCCGCCCGTCGGTCCTCGCTCCCACCAACGGGCAGCGGGGTGCCCACCTGCCCGGGTCCAGTCCAATTGCAAAGCCCGAGGGCGTACCGAGGCGGGGACCTGGCCCCAGCTATCTGCTGAGTCGCCCGAGGGGCCGTGGCACCACTCCTGGTCCAAGATCTTCAACTGGCATCTCTGAGGATCTGGAGACTCAGGATGAGGAGAGTGGGTACGATGCTGGTGGTCAGCAGCAGAGGCCCCCTCAACGGTATGGATCCCGCTGCTCCAGCGACCCTTGCCACTGCCCGCAGCAGGTGCCTGGTGTCCAGGGTCAGGATTCCGAAGGAGGAGAGGATGAGATGAAGAAGGACCCTGAGGAAACACCTGCTTCTGTCGCTGTGGTCAAGAAGAGCGAAACTGCTGAGGACACGGCGGTGGCAGATGCCCCCTCTGCAGTCCAGACCCAGTAGCAACCAGCCTCCCTCTTAAGGGACTCCCTGGCCTGGGCTACAGGTGAAGTCCCCTTGAGGAGACAATGCCCTTTGGTGTCCCCAAAGGGCACACTAGCAATATCCACATTGACCCTTAACAAGGCTTGAGGATAAGATAATAGATCTATGTATTTATACATTCTCTCTTATTTACCATCTGCCTTGGCAGTTTCTTACCTTTTGTGTACACACACACACACACACACACACACACACACACGCAGGTGCATGTACTCCTGCCTCTGAGTCTATCATTTTTAAAGATCTGACCAGGACCACAGCTACTATTCTGTGTCCCAAGGTGAATCATTGGAAACACCATTAAACAATGATATTGATGTTTAATACAAAAGCGAAGATTACCTGATATTGATGATTATCTCACAGTGCTATTTGATATTGCTCACCTGAGTGGTCATTTTCTCAATAAATCATCTCATGTTGCTTTTATCTGGTACTGCTGTTGTCTGATTTTTTTTTTAAGCCTGCCAATATTGAGACCGTCCTTTCAGTCCTTTTCCAGAACCAGTTTTAGCAAAAACCATGCCTATCCTTTGAACAAGTCATAAGTTCAAGACTAATTCTGGGCTTATGGGTTGAACTTATCAGAATATTCTAAAGAGTTAGAATACATGGAGAGGGAAGATGTGTCCCTTTCACTTTTATGTCCTTCCCCTGCCCAGCCATTTGAGCAGTAAGTCTGGAAGGTGGGCCTCACTACCCACACTTGCTGCTAAGGTGCTCTTCAAAGCAAAATAAAAGAGCCGAGTAAAATACCATGTGAAAAAGATTGGCTATCTGGAAACAACTTGCCTCTGTATTTTTTTTTTCTTTTAACGGATTTGATCCAATACCATATTTATAAGAAAATGGGCATGAGGAACGGGGGTTGGGGAAATAGGGAGATGTTGGTCAAAGGATACAAACTTTGAGTTGCAAGGATGAATGAGTTCCTGGTGATGATAATTAATGATACTGCATTGTTTACCTATGAGAGTAGAGCTTTAATGTTCTCACACTGAAAAACAAACAACAACAACAACAACAAAACGGTGATTATGTGAGGTGAAGGATGTGTTAACCTTATTCTGGGAAACATTTCACAATATGTATGTCTATCAAATCATCTCATCGTAAATGGATGCAACGTTATATGTCAGTGATATCTCAAAATTTGGAAAACATAATAAGGAAGAAAAAAGAATGTGGGCATGGAAGCAGGTATAATTTCTGTCGTGCTTACTTCTGGGGATGAAGAATAGCATCTAGTCCATACTCTCCATCTGAATTTGCTGGTTGAGTCCATCCATGGAGCCTGTGGAGGATTCCGGGAAGGCTGAGCAGGTGAAGTTCAGCCCCTTTCCTGTCAGAGGTGCTCTAACTGGGAATGTCATCCCTATCCTGGTTTTCATTTGAACATATAGTAGGGATGGTGGGTGGAAGATGGATTGGGTTTGGAGGTGGGAGTGAGTGATTAACAAAGTTGAAACCAGGCCTCCCCGGTGGCGGTGGCGCAGCAGTTGAGCGCTGGGCTGTGAAGCTGCCCGCAGCCTCTGTAGTGCCGGTTCGATCCCTGGCCGCCGGCGAGGGTCCCACATGGTGCGCAGAGCTCTCCTGCCGCCCCCTGCTCCCCTCAGCAGTGTACTTCGTCAGTCTGCCTATTCTGCTCCTTGCTCTGGCTCTGGTGAATTCTCTCACCCTCCTGCACTCTTGACTGTACCCAGTGCTTGCATAAATAATAAATCTTAAAAAAAAAAAGAGGCTTAAAAAAAAAAACAAAGTTGAAACCACAGATGTCTTAAAATGTCATGTAATAGATTATGGAAATTGAATTATCAATAGGAAAATAAAAATATACTTAAATATTGAGGCATTTTATACTACATTATATACTAGCATGAGAAATTTGGAGAATGAGTATTCAATCATTCATTATAGCTAAATATCCTTAATTAATTGAAGTAGAAACAGTAGATCACTCATTCAGCAAATATTTGAGTTCCCAGTTGTCTCAGACTCTCTGCCAGGCCCAGCGGTTGCATGATGGTGAAGAAGAAAGCCCCTTCCCTCAGAGAGCCCATACTCTAGTGGAGAGTGTGGCAAAACTGGCAATGGCTACACAATGGAGTGTGCGTGCTCTGGTGGAATCAGCACAGGATGTGACAGGAAACACATGTGACCCAGATACTGACAGTTGATTCCAGGCCAAGGGAACCACTGCTTGCATACCTGAATGTAAAATTGTGTCTAGCAATCACCAGAAACAGAGGTCAGATTTGATAAGGTCATGTCAACGTATAGCTAGAAGTTGTTCTTCGGAGACTAACAGTGCACCACCAATCACTAAGCCTAAGAATTTGTACTGTAACATGGCCCCAAGAGATTACGGGAGAGGACTTGAAGTGAGACTACACCTGTTATGACCATAAAATAACTCAGATCCCTTCCAGGATTCCTTTTTATGTCAAACAACAGGCATAGATACGTTAAGGAGATACGTTTTCTGTATATACATGTTGGGTTCACAGGTTGTTCCCTGCTGTGTAAGCATCCGTATCCGGAGACAGCAGCTTAGTCGGCCTCACCGTGGAGGCCTTTGGGGAAATGGAGGCCACAAAGGGCCAGGATAAGGAATCTGTTCTTTGCCCAGCTCACATAGGTGCCTGATAGGGTACACTGACAGGATTGGCCTGGTGATTGCTGACTATGGGTTGGGGGGATTGAAGTGTATAGAGGTTGTGAATCTCATACCCTTGTACTCAATTATATTTGGGCACTGGGGTTTCTAAGATGATGCCCTAGTGCACAAGCAGCATATCCTATCAGGCACCTATGTGAGCAGAGCAAAGAACAGATTCCCTATCCTGGTCCTTTATGGCCTCCATTTCCCCAAAGTGAGGTCTCCACAGTGAGGCCAACTAAGCGGCTGTCTCTGGCTACAGATGCTTACACAGCAGGGAACAACCTGTGAACCCAACATGTATATACATAAAGCATATCCCTTCAACATATCTATGCCTGTTTTTCGGCATGAAGAGTCCTCTTGGAGGAATGAGTTCTCTTCTTTTTTATTTTTTTTAAAGTGGAAATACAACATTTTTTTTTAGTGTGTTTTTAATTTTTTTTAAATTTTCTTTACACCATTGTTCATTTTAAACAATGTTTACAATGTTTCTCCCCACCAATGCACCCACGCACCTTCACCACAGTCCCCTGTGCTTCTCCCTCCATCCCTCTGATCTCTCTCCCTCCTCCTCCCCTGCACTGTGTCTCTGATTTATAATTGTCTGTTTTTGCTTTGTTGTGTTTTGTGTTTATATTATTTTTTTACACTGATGTATTATTTGGTTCCCTATATTCCTGCTATGAGTGAAACCATCCAATATTTTTCTTTTTCCTTCTGACTTATTTCTTTATTTTTTTAAAAAGCTTTATTCATTTATACATACAAGAACCGGGGTACAGGCCAGATGTGTGGGAGGATAAGAGATTCACCAGAGACAGCAGGGAGCAGAACAGGCGGACTGACTGAAATACACTGCTGAGGGGAGCAGCGGGTGAGACAAGAGAGGACCACCACACCATGTGGGTATCTCCCTGGCCAGCCGGGATCGAACCTGCACTGCAGAGGCTGCAGACAGCTTCGCAGCCCTGCGCTCAACCCGCTGCACCACCAGTGAAATAAGTCAGGGGCCTGAAGCTGTCTGCAGCCTCTGCAGTGCAGGTTCGATCCCGGCTGGCCAGGGAGATACCCACATGGTGTGGTGGTCCTCTCTTGTCTCACCCGCTGCTCCCCTCAGCAGTGTATTTCAGTCAGTCCGCCTGTTCTGCTCCCTGCTGTCTCTGGTGAATCTCTTATCCTCCCACACATCTGGCCTGTACCCCGGTTCTTGTATGTATAAATGAATAAAGCTTTTTAAAAAAATAAAGAAATAAGTCAGAAGGAAAAAGAAAAATATTGGATGGTTTCACTCATAGCAGGAATATAGGGAACCAAATAATACATCAGTGTAAAAAAATAATATAAACACAAAACACAACAAAGCAAAAACAGACAATTATAAATCAGAGACACAGTGCAGGGGAGGAGGAGGAGAGAGATCAGAGGGATGGAGGGAGAAGCACAGGGGACTGTGGTGAAGGTGCGTGGGTGCATTGGTGGGGAGAAACATTGTAAACATTGTTTAAAATGAACAATGGTGTAAAGAAAATTTAAAAAAAATTAAAAACACACTAAAAAAAAATGTTGTATTTCCACTTTAAAAAAAATAAAAAAGAAGAGAACTCATTCCTCCAAGAGGACTCTTCATGCCGAAAAACAGGCATAGATATGTTGAAGGGATATGCTTTATGAATATACATGTTGGGTTCACAGGTTGTTCCCTGCTGTGTAAGCATCTGTAGCCAGAGACAGCCGCTTAGTTGGCCTCACTGTGGAGACCTCACTTTGGGGAAATGGAGGCCATAAAGGACCAGGATAGGGAATCTGTTCTTTGCTCTGCTCACATAGGTGCCTGATAGGATATGCTGCTTGTGCACTAGGGCATCATCTTAGAAACCCCAGTGCCCAAATATAATTGAGTAACAAGGGTATGAGATTCACAACCTCTATACACTTCAATCCCCCCAACCCATAGTCAGCAATCACCAGGCCAATCCTGTCAGTGTACCCTATCAGGCACCTATGTGAGCTGGGCAAAGAACAGATTCCTTATCCTGGCCGTTGTGGCCTCCATTTCCCCAAAGGCCTCCACGGTGAGGCCGACTAAGCTGCTGTCTCCGGATACGGATGCTTACACAGCAGGGAACAACCTGTGAACCCAACATGTATATACAGAAAACGTATCTCCTTAACGTATCTATGCCTGTTGTTTGACATAAAAAGGAATCCTGGAAGGGATCTGAGTTATTTATATGGTCATAACAGGTGTAGTCTCACTTCAAGTCCTCTCCCGTAATCTCTGGGGCCATGTTACAGT